TCTACCAGTGAGACCCCTGGAGAAAATAAGTATTCTGGGCATGGCCCTTATGCTTCAGAAGTATTGTTTAATAAATTAGAGATTTATTGAATCAGACCTCTGTCTAGCTTTATAAACCATTTTCTTAATTTCAAAAACAAAAGTCATGCAAAATGTAAGGTATCACTCTTCAAGGTGTGTTAGATATAAAACTATTATTTTACTGAGATGTATATACCCATTTCATATAAAAATTAAGAAAATTCTGAAAAAAATAGGATTTCTCCAAATTTACTACTCTCCTGGAACTCCAAGTTGAAAGAGCTTCTGGGGTAAGGAGTGCCATTGGATCCTTCCACTCAGATGTGAAGGGGCTACAAAATGGACCTGCAAATGGGAGCTGCCTGTAGATTAGTTCAAAAATCCAGCTGGCTGTATTTTACTGGTAGCAGAATTTTCACCTGCCTGTATCCTCTTGTACAATTATGATATTCTAAATGGTGCAAGACAATAATCATCCCAAGAACTATAATACTACTTGAAAGCCTCTTCTTTTCTTTTTTCTCTTCTCTTCTCTTCTCTTCTCTTCTCTTCTCTTCTCTTCTCTTCTCTTCTCTTCTCTTCTCTTCTCTCTTTCCCTTCCCTTCCCTTCCCTTCTTCCTCTCCTCTCCTCTCTTCTTTTTCTTTTTCTCTTCCTCTCCTTCTTTTTTTTGTGTTAGAAACCCATTTAATGTAGGTGCGGAGTGGGGAATGCCCTGGGATGGGGTAAGCTGGCAAGGTAGGCAGTCCCACACCTGATCCCAAGAAGACATGCTTGGTGGTGGCGGCCGGCCCAGTCACACCAAGGGTAGTACGAGAAGGATGGCCCGAGCAAGGCAAACCCAGCAGAGGACCTGTAGGACAGCCCTTGAGAAGATATCTAAGCTAGGTGGTGAGTGTCCAGACCACAGCCCCCCTAGCCCAGGGAAGCAGGGTTTGGGCTGACTGGAGGGCTTCTAGAGCCTAAGGACTGGGATCACTAGGGGCCTTCCAGAGCTGCTGTTGGAACTCATGACGTGTCTGCAGGTTGGACTCAAGAAGTTCCTGGTGGCAGGCATGGACGTGATCATTCTTCTCCTCCAGATGGTTCAGACAGCAGTTGATCTGGTCCAACATGGAGCTGATGGTAACTTATTTTGCTTCCCAGAAGCTGTCGTTCTTGCCTCCCTCACTCGCTTCCACCCCCAGGTTCCAACTGGGCCATAACATTACAGACTCAGGCATCCGCAAGGACCTTTCGATGATGGAACAAAGCAACGTCACACAGACAGCAGGTGCCGGCAAAAAAAGGAGATGTTGTGAAGGCATATTTTCAAATAAAATTCCTAAGTTTCAGTAGTTATATTTAGCACACCAGTTTAAAATATTATGTGGCTTTGCTAATTTTTAGCAGCTTTGTTGAGTTTTCATTTACATACTATAAAACTCACTGATTATAAGTATAATTCAGTGATTTTTGGTAAATATACAGAGTTTGTGCAATTATCACCACAATCCAATTTTAGAACATTTTTATCTCCCCCCAAAATCCCTTTTGCCTATTTTCAGTTAATTCCTACCCCTTCCATAGCCTTAGGAACCACAGAACTCTATGGAACCTCTCCAACTCTATGAATTTGCCTTTTCTGATCACTTGGTATCAATAGAATCACATAATATGTGGGCTTTCTCATCTAGTTTCTTTGGCATAATACTTTTTTTTTTTTTTTTTTTTTTTGACAGAGAGAGATCACAAGTAGGCGGAGAGGCAGGCAGAGGGAGAGGAAGGGAAGCAGGATCTCTGGTGAGCAGAGAGCCCGATGTGGGGCTTGATCCCAGGATCCTGGGATCATGACCTGAGCCAAAGGCAGAGGCTTTAACCCACTGAGCCACCCAGGCGCCCCTGGCATCATACTTTTGAGATTTATTCATGTTTTAGCACATATCAGTAGTTCATTGCTTGTTAGCTAAATAGCATTCCATAATGAATATAACATTTTAATGCATTTATCTCTTTTTATTTCAAAGTGCTTCTTTTTTTTTTTTTTAAGTAATCTCCATATCCAACTGGGACTTGAGCTCACCAGCCCAAGATCAAGAGCCGCATGCTTCTCTGGTGGGTCCACCAGATGCCCCTAACGTATCCTAACACATTCATCTCTTGACAGACATTTGGAGTGTCTCCAGTTTTGGTCTATTATGGAAAGAATGCCAAGAACTTTTACATACATATCTTTGTGTGGATACATGCTTTTGTTTTTCTTGGGTGAATTTCCAGGGGTGGAATTATTGGGTAACAGTAAGTTCCTGTTTTAACATTTTCAGAAATTGCTGAATTCTTTTTCCAAAACAACAAAGCAACTATACCATTTTACATTCCCACCAGCACATATGAGGGTCCATATTCTCCACATCCTCAACAATGCTTGGTATGGTCTGTCTTTTTTGTTATAGACTTGATATGTGGTTTTTATAAGTAATGCTCTTTGTCACTAGATTCCTCTCTGAAGGGCCAATCACACTCTTTCTCCCTGGGTGGGGATGGGGGGTGGGAAGTAGGATGCCAGGAAATGAAAGATGTTATTTTTATTGGTGGTGGAGCTAGACTGGAGAATGTAGCTTGCATTTGGAGCAAGAAAATAGGGATGCTAATAATGTCATCTCTGAATTGAAATTATCCACCCCAAACTGCAAGCTTCTTTCACTTTCCCCTACCCCCAAGGGTCCCAGCCTGCCCAGTGTGGCCACCTGGGAGAGCAGAAAGCCATGAGCAGAGAGCAAGGAGATGGACACTGAAGTCCCAGGGAAATCATAACAGATAGATTTCCAATGACCAATGGATGACAGACACCGACTTCTCCCTGATCAGGTAAATCAATTTTTATGTGAAGATCCATGTGAAAGGCTGAAATTGGTCCTCAGATATAGATCCATTTTGAGGAATAGAGTAGAAATTCCCACTTAGAAATATGAGCAAAGAAGAACAGAATCCCCCTCAAACCTATAACGATTGTTATTTCTTGCTTATACACATATGTAGAACTTTAGTCTCTGTTTTCTAGCAGTATTGACTTTGATACTAACACTTTATGTGTACATAGAATTTATCACTATGTACAATGCTACCACATCGGTTATCTTGTTCCAGACTCACAGATGGGAAACTGATCTCCAAAGGGTATGATAGCTCATGAGTAACAAAGCTTGACCCTGTGCTAGGTCTCTGGCTCCAAGTCTGTGTCTTTGCCTGCTCACATTTGCTGATCAGCTAGGAAGCAGAAACTACCTTTACAAAATTTATGAAATTTCCTGGTGTGACTGCTTACTTTTAAAAGGCAAAACATAGCCTCTGCCTTTGGCTCTGGTCATGATCTCAGGGTTCTGGGATCAAGCCCCGCATCAGGCTCTCTGCTCGGCGGGGAGTCTGCTTTCCCCACCCTCTCTGCCTGCCTCTCTGCCTACTTGTGATCTCTGTCAAATAAATTAATTAAAAATCTTTAAAAGGCAACGTGGGGCACCTGGGTGGCTCAGTTGGTTAAGCCACTGCCTTCGGTTGTGATCCCTGAGTCCTGGGATCGAGTCCCACATCAGGCTCCCAGCTCCACAGAGTGTCTGCTTCTCCTTCCGACCTTCTCCCCTCTCGTGCTCTCTTTCATTCTCTCTCTCTCTCAAATAAATAAATGAAATCTTTTTTTAAAAAGGCAAAACAGGGGGTGCCTGGGTGGCTCAGTCATTAAGCGTCTGCCTTTGGCTCAGGTCATGATCCTGGGGTACTGGGATTGAGCCCCACATCAGTCTCCCTGCTCTGTGGGAAGCCTGCTTTTCCCTTTTTCATTCCCCCCTCTTGTCTTCCCTCTCTCACTGTGTTTCTCTCTGTCAAATAAATAAAATATTTTAAAAAATAAAAGGCAAAAGAGTATTTGACATATAGAATCACAAATTAAACCAATATTATTAAAAACAAACTGTAGCAAAATTCATATGGGCATTACCAAAGTGAACATATTGCTTTCACAGTGCAGAGCCAATAGAATTGCCTTATGCATACTATGCTGTTTTATTTCCCACCAGTAATCTGCATGAAAATGACTTCCTTGAGAAACACAACTGTGCTAGTGCCATATAATTACATTGTGACTCAGAGTTCCTTACATCAGGGAAGCACACTTCAAATAATTATTTCCATTCAGCTTTTCTGTGGTTCCTGCAGACACTCCATCTATACATGTTCTAATGAAATGTTCCCAAATTGGGTCCCGTGTAACACTAATGTCCAGAGAGTTAGTAATAGATGTTCTATGAAAATAAAATATTTTCTGGCCAAATAATTTCCAAAAGACATTGGATTAACAAAAATTTAAGTCAGTTTTTTACTATAAGGAATCTCTGGGCCTTTATTATGGCATTGTACATGTGAATTTTCAAAAGGGAATATCATGTGTTTTCCCACATCAATTGATTTTGGAACTTTTCTCATGGAATACCTAACAATATATGTGGGGCATTGTTAATTTCCAGGGGACATCTATGAATATGTAGCTATATAGATATATTTTGCATTAATTTGCCTAAAAAATGGATAAAGCTGCCAAGTATGGTGAGGAGAACTTGAGATTTTGAATTTGATAAGGTGAATGTTTTCATATTAAATATATTAATGGTAATATTAAGGACCACAAAGCTTGGTTACTTTAAATGTTATGAAGATATAGTAAGAATAGATATCATCAAAAATAGAGTCCATTTTTTGACTATTAAAGTTGAGTCAAGAACTATTGTTGGGGCACCTGGGTGGCTCAGGTTGGGCAATTGCCTTTGGCTCAGGTCATGATCCCAGAGTCCCGGTATCGAGTCCCGCATCTGGCTCCCAGCTCCATGGGGAGTCTGCTTCTCCCTTTGACTTCTCCCCTCTCATGTGCTTGCTCTCTCTGTCTCTCTCAAATAAATAAATAAAATCTTAAAAAAATAAAAAGAACTATTGTATCTTGTGTTCATCCTTCCCTAGATCCTGAGAGATGGAAACCATTACCCTCAATTGGTCAACAGAAAGGTTAGCTAATTGGAGTAACTTTTACTGAGAGCACTCATCTAGTAAGTCACGGAGTTGAGGTTTGAAGCAAAGTTTGCACAGCTCTATACCCTATTTCCTGTACTTTTCCATTCTAAAATGTAACTTCTACTTTGAATGACTTAATGTGCTGTACCTATCAGAGATTTAACTAATGAAGATTGTGACCATGTAGAAGTTATAACTTTTCAAATACACAGAAAAGGAAATATTATTCTAACATTAATTTTCTTGTTCTGGGGTTTGGCAATTAGTTTGACACAACCCTTGAGAAATCAGAATTTTCTGGAAACAAAATAGAAGCATTGTAAATGAATTTAATATAGTAACACTTAATAGTTCTTCTAGAAACACAAAAACAATTCTAAATGTTGTAAAAAAAAAAAAAAAAGCTGTGAAGTGCAGCTGTAAATTCCTCCATATCGGGTTCTAGTACCAGGTGCCATGGGAAAAGATCGAAGTGGCGTGTGTGTGTGTGTGTGTGTGTGGTGTTACTTGCAGAAAGACCAAATTAAAATAGGATGACTTTTGGGGCACATGGGTGGCTCAGTGGATTAAAGCCTCTGCTGTCGGCTCGGGTCATGATCTCAGGGTCCTAGGATTAAGCCCCACATTGGGCTCTTTGCTTAGCAGGGAGCCTGCTTCTCCCATCTCTCTGCCTGCCTCTCTGCCTACTTGTGATCTCTCTCTCTATCAAACAAAGACATAAAAAAAAAAAATAGGATGACTTTTTCTTTTCTCCTCATTTGTACTCAAAGGTGGGAAATGGCTGTATGAAGAGATGATCTCCAAGAACCTTTAAAGGACTAACATGGCTTGACCGAGGTAATCATGAAAATAAAGAATGGGCTATGGGGTCATGGCTTAGGCTACCTCTGATATTGAAGGGTTGTATTTTTGATGAGATGGTAATCCTCTGTGTCATTCGGGGAAGAAATCCTGAGCAATAGGACTGTGAAGGGTAACAGTCTAGCACAGCAGTTCAGTCTAAACTCAGGCAGCTCATATTCATGTGCTAGCTCACCCTTCAATAGCTGTGAAAACCTGGCTCTGCTAGTTGATGTATTTAAGCTTGATTACCCTCATCTGTTTCCTAAAGACAGCCATGCAAACCTCACAGGGCTCGTGTAAGGCATACATGAGACAACATCAGTCATGTGCTCAGTCCACTGCCTGGCACTTAAGGCAAGTATCATAGACAGCAGCAATACAAGTATGATCATTAGGAGTCAGATTTTAACTCAAGTTAAAACTTCCTAACGACATGAGGTAACTAATTCTGGAGGTGCTAAATCTTAGCACCTTAGATGATCCCATCTTAAGGAAGTTACAGAGAAAGTCAAAGATTGCAGGCAGGTTTGTTCTGTCTCAAATTTTCTGACTCCTTCTTCTCTTTCACTGGATGACTCACTCATACTGAATTGCCTTTCCACTTTCAGACTCGGAGGAACACTAGGTGATGTGGGGATTGGCTCCCATGTGGCCATACAACAAGAGCCAGAGTGTGGGAGTTACCTGCCTGCAGGGAGAACCTTGGACAGTGAGAAATGGGATGCAGGAGGGAGCTGAGCAAATAAACTCACCCTCTGCTGTGGACTACTCCCGAGTCCTGCATGTGGACAGGCAGGTTGTTCTCCAGCTGATGCCAAGTGTTGTCATGTGTCATGCAGCACAGTGTGTCATATATTTCCTTGCCTAGTTTTACCTTTTTCCTCACCTCACTATTCAGTTCCTAATATTTATTTGAGAGGTGCACACTCAGGTCACTGTCCTGAGTGTGCACCTCTCAAATAAATATTAGGAACTGAAACCTTACTTCTGGCTCTACTTTCTAGAAGATCTGGGCTCAAAAGGTGTTTCTTACAAATCTGACATTCACTTTTATTGCAAAGCTAAATTTTGACTTTCATCTCATCAGACAGGGCATCATATAAAAAGCAACATCAACTGACCTGTCTAGGAGTTGTCCACCTCTGTAATAAACTAATCACATCTTCATATTAGACATTATACATAATAATTTTGAGGTCATGAAACTGGAGTGGCCTCTTTTTTTTCATGCACATTATGATATTGTTACAGGGGACACTAGTCTCATGCAATCCAGGGCACTGATTATTGTTGAAGAACAAGTTTGTGGAGGCTTTCTGTCACTTCTGGCAATTTGTCTTACCCTAGTACATTGTGACTCCTCCTCAAAGGTGGGAAGAAAAAACAGGAGGGTGGCGTCCTGGGAGCTAAGGGAAGGAAGTGTTACTGGAAGGGGAAAAAAAACAACTCTACTGAATACTGCTGAGGTTCTGTGATATGAAGACAGAATTTTCCACAGCGTAGAGTAGCAGGGAGACAAGTGAACTTTACAAGACTGTGTGGCATGAGCAGGGCTAGAACCAGACTAGATTTGCTCAGAGTAGCGAATTGAAGGGGCCACAATGGTGGGTATAGATACAAGACATCAAATGGTGGCTGGACAGAGGATCAAATAAGGATTTCCACACTGATGAAGAATTATCCAGGAGAGAGGAAAGGATTGGTGATTCAAGAGAGAGTAGATAACAGAAAGCAGTGACAAGAGAAGACAAAGGCATGTGCACCAAACCACAGCTGAAGAGATTGTCTTCTGGTAAATACTACTATGAGAGCAACGTATTAGTGTTCTAGGGCTGCCGTAACAAGGTGCCATGGACTAGGTGGTTTAAACAACAGAAACACATTTTCTCAGTTCCAGCAACTGGAAGTTGAGATCAAGTTGTCAACAGGGTTGGTTCCTTCTGAGGGTTGTGAGAGATGGACCTCTTTCCTTTGCCTGTACATTTGTCTTTTCTTTGTGTGTTCAGGTGGTCTTACTCTGTGCATGCATGTCTCTGGGACACCAGTCATATTGGATCAGGAGCCAGTGTAATGTAATCATTTTAACTTAATTATCTCCATAAAGACCCTGTGTTCAAATATAGTTACTGTCTAAGTCCATTCAAGCTGCTGTAAGAAAAATACAATAGATCCTACATATATATATGGAATCTAAAAAACAACAACAAACAAAGAAACACACAGAAAAAAACAAAAACAAAAACAAAACCCAACCCAAACAAAAACAAAAAACTGAATTTGTAGGGCGCCTGGGTGGCTCAGTGGGTTAAAGGCTCAGGTCCTGATCCCAGGATCCTGGGATCGAGCCCCACATCGGGCTCTCTGCTCAGCAGGGAGCCTGCTTCCTCCTCTCTCTCTCTGCCTGCTTCTCTGCCTACTTGTGATCTCTGTCTGTCAAATAAATAAAATCTTAAAAAAAAAAAAACTGAACTTGTAGATATAGAGAACAACTTGGCGTTTGCTGGAGGATGAGATTGGTGGGGGTGGGGGGGGATGAGGAAAGGGGTCAAAAGGTACAAACTTCTAGTTAAAAGATAAATACGGGAGCACCTGGGTGGCTCAGTGGGTTAAAGCCTCTGCCTTCAGCTTGGGTCAGGATCTTGGGGTCCTGGGATTGAGCCCCACATTGGGCTCTCTGCTCAGCGGGGAGTCTGCTTCCCTTCCTCTCTCTGCCTGCCTCTCTGCCTGCTTGTGATCTCTATCTGTCAAATAAATAAATAAAATCTTAAAAAAAAAAAAAAAGATAAATAAGTCCAGGACATGTAACGTACAACATTGTACTACAGTTAACAATACTGTATTGTATATTTTAATTGCTAGGATGGTAGATCTTAAAAGCCTTCATCACAGGAATAAAAGTTATTACTGTATGCATGAAGTGAAGGATGCTATCTAAATATATTGTAGTGATCATTTTATAATATGTACATATATCACATCATTTTGTACACCTAAAGCTAATATAATGTTATAGGTCAGTGATACCTCAATTAAAAAATAGAAGCAAAATAAGAGTGAAAATAAATGAAAATTAGAAGATAATTATGGGAGGTCCAACATCAAAATAATAGAGGTTTCAGATGCACCACAACCAAAAAGATAAGGATAAAAATATAGGGAAGGAAATTTTAATAGGATACTTCAAGAAATTTTGTCAGAAAAAAATATGTGCTTCTTGGTTTGAAGGGTGTACTAATTGTCCAGCAAAAGAAATGAAAATGGATCCACACTACACAATGAACATCACATCCTTGTTTCTCTCTCCTGGTCCAAGCTATACAATTTAATGATTAGGATACTATAAAAGATTGACAAGTCTTCAGTTGTTGGTCAACTTGAGTCATATATGTGTGTAAACAATGGAAGCAATAATGAAATGAGTGCTTTTTAAGGCTTCCATTGCACTCAGAATACATTGAGAGCTCCCCTTTTGACCTACCAGTCTCTCCATGATTAGGACCCAAGTAATTCTCTGGTCTTCTTGCCTTGCATGTTCTCCCTTAGCCACACTGGCTCCCTTGCTGGTCCTTGAGCATGCCAAGATGACGACCTTGAGGCTTGCTTTTTCCATTGTCCTGGAATGATTTTTTTCCTCTATATTTACATGTCTTCTCCCATTGTTTTATTCAGGTCTTCATGTAATGCAACCTTTTTCCTGATATTGCAACCTACCTTTTACTTTCATTGTTATTTCTTCCTTTATTCTCCAGTACTTTTCTTCAAAGCACCTATCGTTGATTGAATAAGCAAATAAATGAATTTTCTTATGCATTGTCTTCTCCATAAAATATGAGCTCTGTGCTGGCAGAAATATTGTTTTGTTTATTGCTGTACCTGATGTCTAGAAATGTGTCTGATAGACAGGAAACTTAATATATTTCTATTGGATAAATAAATAAAATTGTAGATAATTTCTTTTTTCATCTATACCTAGAACTTTGTCTTGCCTCAGTCTCACTTAAAAAAAAAAAAAAAAAAAACCCAAAAACAAAACAAAAAATTCTTGGCCAAATTCGAGGTTTTTTTTGTTTTGTTTTGTTTTTGTTTTTGTTTTTAAAGTAAGCTTCTAAAGGAAAGTCCAGTAGGTTCTACCTAGTCTTATAAAAATGGAAAGAGAATAAAGTCTTTAAAAAAGAGTGGGGGGCACCTAGGTGGCTCAGTTGGTTTGGCGACTGCCTTTGGCTCAGGTCATGATCCTGGAGTCTCGGGATCAAGTCCCACATCAGGCTCCCTGCTTGGCAGGGAGTCTGTTTCTCCCTCTGACCTCTTCTCTCTCATGCTCTTTCTCTCTCTCAAATAAATAAATAAAATCTTTAAAAAAAAAAATGGAAGGAGAACCAAAGCGGATGTCACAGACATGGAGCCACAGGGAGAAGGAGCTGAGGAGATTTCCATACAGAATTCTAGGAAAGGCAACATCTCGGAGGGAAACAACAGTGTGGTGTCCCAGAGAGATTTAACTCCTGGGGACTTGCTTTGCTAAAGACCCTGTCTACAAATTCAGCTCAAGATTTTTTGAGTCCCATAATTTCTGGATTTGGACAGTGAATATGTTAGCTGTGGCCAGTGTTCTGGAAGGTATAGGAAGACATAAACTTTCCTTCAGTCCTGAAGGAAGGGTAAGAAACTCCCCTCTGGGTCCTCTGGTTGAAACTGTTCCCAGCCGAGAAGGATGGGGATTCAGGAAAAAACTAAACTTGATTTGGAGAAATTCAAAACCTATGACTTTCTTATCCCTTATCTGGGGAGTAAAGTCATATTTTCAACAGGTTGAATAAAACACTTTACCTATTTAATATAATGAGTAAAAATCTCAGTTTTACCGGAATTTTTGACCCTACCGGAATTTTTGACCCCACCTTCACAATTCAAAATAGCAAGTGTACATTGAATATGAATGGTCCAAATATTGTAGGGACTATCATCAAATACAAGGAATAATCTTTTATGGAAATAAAACCTATTCATTTATTTAGACTAGGTGGTTTAAACAACATCTGTTTCTTATAGTTCTGGATGCTCAAAGTCCAAGATCAAGGCACAGGCAGAGTTTGTGTCTGGTAAGAGCGTCTCCTCTGGTTCATAGGCAGTTAACTTTACACTGTGTTCTCACATGGCAAAGGGGCAAGGGAGTTCTCTTTGGCCAATTTTCTGAGGGCACTAATCCATTATGAGGGTTCTGTCCTCATGACTTAATTACCTCCCAAATGCTCTACCTCCAAGCACCATCACATTGGGAATTAGGTAGGGTGGGGGGAGGGGGTACACAAACATTCATTTTATAGCAGTCACATTCTGAGGTACCGGGGGTTAGGACTTCAACATATGAATTTTGGAGGTGCACATAATTCAGTCCACAACAAAGAAAAACATTTTTTTTCCCTCCTATAACAGAAAGGGAAAAAGATGGGGCAGGCACAGTGTATCTAATTTATGGCTTCTACAATCTAAGTGAAACATGTATGGGGAAGAGATTTAAAAAGAGGAAACAGAGGTGCCTGAGTGGCTCAGGTGGTTAAGCATCCGGCTCAAGGTCATGAGGTCATGATCTCATGGGTCATGAGATCCAGCCATGGGTTGGGCTGCATGCTCAGCAGGAGTCTGCTTGAAGATTGTCTTCCTTGGCCATTCCTTCTACTCACTTTCTCTTTCTCTCTCAAATAAATAAAAGAATCTTTAAAAGAAAATAAAAAGAGAAAAAAAGTTTGAGACAGTTG